TTGTTTACAACCTTTAAGTAAAGATCAACAAAAACAATTTGAGCAGCTTTTACTTCAGGTGACTGTCTCATGCAGTTTAGCTTTCTCTTGGATAGATAACTCTGAAGTAAAAGCATTTTTTAAATTTCTTTATCTTTTAGTTAAACTACTTTCACAAAAAGATCTTAGTGGTCGAATTCTAGAAGAATCAACACAAAAAATAAATATTTCCATTTAAGAAACAGCTCAAAAAGATACAAATGGTGTTATATTAGTGTATAACAGTTGGAAAAATATAAAAAAAGAATCAATTTTTGGGAGCATTTTAATTACTTCAATGGGTAAGGTCCTTATTTGGAATGCGAAAAATATATCAGATGAACGTACAAGGTAGTTTGATGTGCAGCATAAGACAGAGAATATGCTTAATAATTTAAATAAAGAAGGGATTAAAGTTAATGCTGTTGTCACAGATTGTGCATCTTAATATGAAGCAGCAAAGTAATATTATATACAAGTAAACTAATTCAATACAGTGAAACCTCTATAAGTGCATCCTCTATAAGTGCACATCCTTTCCAAATGCATGCTTAAATTTGGGCTCAAATCTATACATGACCTTTATAAATGCACCTTTTCTTATTGTTCTCTAAGTGCATATCATTAAAGTTCAGTCCCAAGAGCATGCACTTATAGAGGTTTTACTGTATATTATTACTATTTGTACACTATATTAAATTTTTTTAAAATCTTTAGAAAACATTTACGATGAATATATTTTGAAACTATATTTATTCCTTGCTTCGCTCATCAGATGAATCTGTGTATTAGAGATATCTTCAGAAATTCAAACAAATTTTTAGCTGTTGTGGAGCAAGCTATTCATCTTGTATTTTTTTTTAACTAGTCAACTTTTTTTTTAGGTCATCTTCGTTCAGAACAATTAGCTTTATATAAATCTTATGTTTCTTTTGTGTTGCCAAATTGTACACAATAAAATAGTCATTATTTGTGTTTTGCCAGTATTTTTAGAACACGTGCTGCTCTTAAAAATTTAGCAACAAAGATATAAGAAAGTAATGATAAAGATCTTAATGACTTTTCTGAAATTCTTCTTACTTATATTTCAAACAATGAATGGTAGAATAACCTTATACAATTAAAAACTCTTCTCGAACCATATATGGCATCATTGAACAAGTTTCAGCGAGATAAGGGTCGCCTTTCTAATGTTTTGCATAGTTTTAGCTAGATATGTCAAATGATTAAAAATCTTTCTGATGGTGCTCTTAGAGATTATTTAATCACAAAATTAGAAAAGCGATGATTAACTTAGGAACAACTATTGCTACTTTTATTATTTTTATTATATCTATTTTATCGCACTACTCAATTTAATCAAAATATTGATAATCTTTCTTTTGCACATATAGGATGTTGGATTATTTACTATTATAAAAATTGGTTCAATAAATCTTTGAATTCAATTCTATCTGAATTGCAATATTATGAAAGCCAAGAATACTCATTTAATCAAGAAACTTTTAACCAATTTGGTAGTAATGTGTTAAAATATTGGAATTTTTGCAAAGAAATTGCTTTAGAATTACATCTTGTAGCAGTTCAAATTTTTTCAGTTTGCATAACAACAGCATCAGTAGAATGATTATTCTCTACTATGGGATGATACCATTCTTCATGACACAATTGGCTTAAGATAAATTTGTTTGATATATAGGGTCTTTGTCTTGAAAATGACCTTATAGTACATGATGCCATAAGGTCATTTTTAAGACAAAAACCCCATATATACATATATCTGGTTAACTATTTTATATTTATTACATTTATTTATACTATACATATAATTTAACATAATAGCATAAAAAAGTTCTTGCTATGAGCCAACTAAGATCAGAACTTATCTGTTCACGAAACATTGCAGCTATTGACAAATCATTAAAGATATATAAACAAAACATTGCAATTCCAGTTGAAGAAAATGATGAAAAAACAAGTTTAGATGAAAACACAGAAAAAGAGCAATTAATTAGTCTATTAGAAAATGATATGAATTTAGAAAATCCTGAAAAGCAAATTCGGACAAATGTTAGTTATTTCAATATAGTTAAAAGCATAAATAACTGGAATGCAATTGTAAATCAATAGGTTAGTCTAAATAAAGAGAAGGAAGTTAAAGATGACTTAAATGAATTAGAAAGTCTGTCTGAATTATATTTTGATGAAGTAGAATTTTATCTTGTGAATAACTTTACAGCCAAGTGAAAGCTAGCAGATCTTTTTGTAGATTCACTAGTATGACCTGCTCATATTAATTTACTTTTGGATGACTAAAGCATAAATTAAATTAGGTCATATAATAATAAATTAACAGTATTAGAAATTAACATTACACAGAACTTTTAATTTAAAATATATATTTTTTTTGTATTTATTTGTTTATGCTTCAAAACAAGTTTAATTACTGTTTAAAACACATGCATAAACAAGTTTCAATATTTTTTACATATTCGTGAATAAAGAATAGCAATTTCTTCTGATACTTTATTTAGCTGTTCAAGATAAATTATTACTTGTATAATTGTTATGTAGGTAATCTTAACTTATCCAAGGCTATACTGGTTTAATACAGAATCAATAAATTTTCCTATTAAAAGTTACTATGTACGTATATACGTATATTGTGAGAGGGAAAATTTGTCCAAGGTTGACGACAAGGTGGCTTGGGTCGATTAACCTAAACATCGACCAAATCTGCCAGATATGGCAGAAATGGTAGAAAATGGTAACACATCTGCCAGAAATAGCAGATATGGTAAATTCAGTAGATGAAATATGATGAATAAGGCATATATAGTATATATGGTGAAAAAGTGCAAAGTAAAAATTAGTAAATGAAAATGTATTTAAATGCTACAAAAATCACTATGAATAAAGTGACTCCATTGAGTTCTAAAGCTTCCTTTGAGTTCTTAACTAGTGTCCTGTAGTACTAAAAGTTACTTTCGTATTTTGTTTCATCATATTCTTCAGTCTCTGTAACTCGTTTTAGACCTTTAATCATTATATCGTTCAAAGTAAAAGAGAAAGATCGAATTAGTAACTGACCTCTTTTTATATAAAACAATTACCTGATTACATCAGTGATCAATCCATTGTTAAATCATACATATGTAATTCAATTTTGATTGTAACTACATAATCATATTTCAGCATCCACTGATGCTGAAATAAATCACATGATCTAGTAACTTTTAAAACAAGCAGTATACCTAAAAATTAAGAAAATACAGTAAAGTCATTAGTATTGAACCAAGTTACTAAACACAAGAACTACTTGCTTAAAGTAAAGAGACACTTATCTAAGCCCGGTAATAACCCACAAGACCTAAAAACCTCAAAACTCAAACCAAGTCTAACCATGTTTCGATCGAAGCCTACTAATTTCGGGATTTTAGATCTTGTTAGAAGTTGTTTTGGTAGTATCGAGTTGCCTATTACTCTATTTAGTGATATTAGGATCAAAATAGACTTTCACAATGTACGTATTATATATGTATTTTTGAGTTTCAAGTCACATTAATTTACATTAAAAAAATAAGATAAGTGATAGAATGAGTAGAATTGGAGTAATATATCAAATAATTAAAGAAAAATAATATATTGAAATATATGAGAAATAATGAATTGAACTCATTACTAACACAAAATTTCATGTACATATATATGCTATTGTAAAATGCTTAGGCTTTTTTAAAAAATAAATTCTTAAATAAGTGATCATAAGCCCACCTTTCAACTCTGTGTAAACATCTAGGACTTTAAATAGCGCTTTGATATCTGTTTGTATTTATATTGTTTATTGAGATTCATATTTAGTTTATAACAAGTATATACGTACATACATACATATATATTATAACCATATATCTGATTAATATACTTCCAATAAAACTACATAGCCTTCCTAATAAAACCTATAATAATAAATATATCTAAATATTAGTGCCATAAATGTCTATATAAATAGTATAACCAGAAATGATTCTATGATTTTTCAAAAAATCTTTACTATTATTATTGTAAGTGCGAAGTACTTATATACATATATATGTACAGTAAAACCTTTATAAGTGCATGCCCTTGGGACCGAACTTTAATGATATACACTTAGAGAACAATAAGAACAGATGCATTTATAGAGGTCATGTATAGATTTGAACCCAAATTTAAGCATGCATTTAGAGAGAGTGTGTACTTATAAAGAGTACACTTATAGAGGTTTCACTATACTTGGTTAAAATTATTTTAGCCAATCAAAATTTTCATATAGGGTTACACTAGTTATATGTTTAATTTGGACTAAGTGCCTATGTCCAATAAAAAAATATAGACTATATGGACATAGTTCATAAATATCCATATCTAATAGTTCATATTGTCCATATCCATATTTGGCAAACACTGATAGTATTAATTGATATTGTTCACATATTTTCATTTTGAAAATACTACTGATATAGCTATAAGATTTTTACTGTGCTTTAAAATTATTTATAATACAGTTCAATATTTAAAAATAATTATTAACCATTTTGGCAAAATACTATTAATAATGAAAGTGAAATAAATTTTATTATTATATATGAAATTTTTTATTAACTGGTATTACTAATATATATTCTATCAGGTTTTCTTCTCAACTTTAACAGTATCAGAAATGAATCAGTCTAAGATATTGTATACAGAAATTATACAATCCATACTTATATTATAAAAGTTCTGATTTCACAATTCAATATTACAAATACCATCTACTTGGCAATGATATCTAATTTTATGGTTATCAACAGGCTTAAACCAGTGTACAAATGCCAATACATGCTTTTTCAAGTCATTAGGTAGGCGTATCATATGTTCAAAATAGAATTGAACAATGCCTGGATATATGTCGATAGATCTATCGTCTAATATAAATTTTGCTATTATTTTTGTCAACCTTTTGTGTCTTGCTACAGATATTGAACCAAAAAATTCATCACCAATTTTTAGTCTTCCATATTCTGTTACTCTAGGCAAAACTGATATAGAGCTTAATTTGCTAATATTCCTATCACTTAATAACATAAAACTATAGTTATACATATTATTCTAATATTTAGTTAATAAAGCTAATAATTCTTTCGAGAGCATCTTTCTAATATTCTTAGGCCCTAAAAGAGTACCAGGAAAAGGTTCATTTCTAGTTCCTGAGCTTTCTTCAATGTCTGTAAACATTGATAGAAACTTCTGGCAGTCAATTCTATTATTAATAGAAAAACTGCTGATCATTTTTCTTTGTTTAATAAACTGTAAACATATATGTAAATGTCCTTCTGCTTGTATTGTAAATTCATCCAATAATGAATATAATAGAATTATTTTTAATAATTCAATTTCAATTTTTCTATTGCTATTATGGAATAAACCTATTAATATATAAAAACTTTTATGAGCTATTGGTATTTTATTATGATAATTAATAAATTTTTCAGTGTTTAACTTACCTAATAAACTATTCATTCTTTCATAACTAAAGCACCAAAATGAATACATTAGCCCATTGTCATTTACGCATTCACATATATGTAAACATAAATGTAAATTTGGCATTATTTTTTCAGAACCATATTTCTTTTCAATAAGCTTCACATATTTAAAAAACACTGATGAGCTTCTTCTAACTTGATCTTTGGTAAAATTCGGCATACCAAAATTGAACATGCTCTAACAAAATAGGTTAAAATTCTTTGGTCATCTTCTTTTAGTAAATTTCAAGTAACCAAAGTTGCATATATTAATATAAACATCTTCCATTGGTCTGCCATGAAACCAGAAAAACTGTTTTCCATAGCAATCTTATTTGAAATTCTACCAAAATCTGATGGAACTTCTATTTTTTTTGTCTGTTGTTCTATTAAAGCCAAATTATGTAAAGATAAAATGCCTTCTTCTATCTATAGTTTCATAATCCATTTAGTGATGCCTAAAAATAGACAATACATTGGATCTATTATGATAAACCGGACAGAGTTAAAGTAGGTAAGATGATATATTTTCGACTATTAGACAGATGTTTCAGAAGTATGTTTTTTTCTTGCATTTTCTGTACTGCAATTCTTCTATGAAATTGCATCTTGTCAAGTTACCTTGATATCTCTCTCAACAAACCATTCGCTCATATCAGCAAATCTACCAAAGTTTGGTTGATTTCTTTCATCAAAATTAGCTCTCTTCATACACCTGTAACAAGCAATTCGAGCTAAAATAAAGCCACACAATTTTCTTGCAGCTGGTATATCGCAAGAACAACAAATTACTGCCACTCTAATGAATTTGCCAGTAGAGCTTTCAAAAGTTTTTTTTAATTCGATCTCTAATTATATGATAAATTAACACAAATAATTAAACAAATATTATAATTATTTTACTTACCATTCTACAAACCAACTAATTAGTCTATTAAGGGTGCTAAATAATGATTCAGTTGATATAATTTAGGTTTACTTGATCTCAGTATTATAGCTGATGTCAATATGTTTGATGGCTTAAATCATTCATCATGTAAAATATTACAAATGACTCCATAAATTGCATCAATGCTATATTGGAAGTTATCATATAGTTGGAACCAATCAAGATTTATCATTAAGACCAAATGACTATCTGATAGCTCTTTTCAAAAGAATAGTAAATTTTCATCTGGATTCTGAAAAGTTTTTTATATTCTCCCATCATATATATCAGTAAGTTGTTTAGGATCTTCAGACCTATCAACACATTTTCTACAAGATTCTTCAAATCCTTTCTTATTATACAAAGATCCCAATTGATGGCTTAAAGAAACTATTGGATAGATTGATGCTGGTCTATATATATCTCCTTTTTTTGATGTTGAACTTTTTTTAACAATAGGATAATTGCATGGAAATCTTTGATTGGCCATCAGATAGTTGGAAAATTTCCGATAAGTACAACAACTTATTTTAGGGGTCGAATTTGGTTTGTCAGTAAACAGGTCAGCAACATCATACAATTTACAAACATTTTTCACATGTTGTATATTTAATCATGTGAGTGCAGATACCAAGAGCATTACACACTTTATTCAATGAAGTAGGAAAAAAAGAACATTCATTCACATCAAAATAGTTTAGAAGATACTGAATTAGTTTAATAAAAGAATTAGAAGCCACATCAGATAACCGAAATCTTTTCTGGTATTTGAGAATTTATAGGGCGACCTACATAAAATTATCATTGAAATCTATAGATTCAGTTTGATTATTCGTATTTTCTAATTCTAATGCCGGCACATTAAAATCAATGTCTTGATCAAATAAATCTTCTTTATTAGTCAAAATTTTACTAAAAATTTTACTTACGACTTCTTCATCTGAAAATAAAATATCAGCAATTTCAATAGATAATGAGAAACTGACTCTACCTCCAATACCAACTGGTTTTTTGCCTTTTTTTTTTTTAGTTATGAAACTATAATTCTCAAAGCATGTAGATATTACAGAATCACTATCGGAACTATCGATGCGCATAGGTTCCTTCAAAATATCAATTTCTGAAAACTTCATTTTGGGAAGAACAATATTTGGATTAATAATAGTATTAGTTCTGCTTGTTGAGAGTTCTACAATATCATTAATACTTCTTGTTATAGTGGTTCTTTGTCTCGTATAGGCTTTTTTAGTTCATGGATCAACAAGACTGTCTTTACAAATATTACAATAGCAAGATACAGGGTGGCGAATGTCTAAATATTTTTTGTTGTTAGATTTTTCAATTATTTTTTTAACAATTGAACCTTTTTTTCTGTAGCCCATGATAGATATATGCACAAGAAAACAAGAAATATAATGTATAATGAAAGGTATAAGCAAGAGACTAAGAGAAATAGATAAGAAAGAATCGCGAAAGAAAATAATAATTTTCAATTTAATAGAAATAGGCTTTATTTATATATAATTCAATTCTTTAAAAGACTTATTGAAATGCCGATATGCCTTATAGGCTCTTTATTTTGACAATTAAACTTTTTGTTTTGATAATTATACTTTTGCTTAATTACTATTATTATTCGTTTTGATGTATTCTCTTAGACAATTTTATAGCAATTAGTTTTAAATAATAAAATATTGGTTTGCTGATAGGTATATTGAACAATTAAACTTTTTGTTTTGATAATTATGCTTTCATTTAATCAACTATTATTCATTTTGATATGTGTGTTCTTTTTGACAAGTTTATAACAATTGAGTTTAAATCTATAAATTATCAATATGCCGATAGCTATTTAAAAAATTAAATATTTTGTTTTGATAATTATACTTTGATTAATTATTATTATCTGTTTTGATAAGTGTGTTTTCTTTGACAAATTTATAGTAATTGGTTTTTAAATAATAAAATATCAGTATGCCAATAGGTATTTTGATTTATTTGATGTAATCAAAAATTAATCTATACAGTTATCAAACAATTATCAGCATTTTTTTTTTTTTTATATAACAATAAAACAAAATTTAGTATTAAGATAATTTTGTGTATTGTATATAATCAGATAAAAAAATAAAGCTATCAGTATTCTGCTATATTGTCAGGCTTTTTTTTAATATAAACAAATCAAACTTGCGTAATATGCACTTTAAATATGCAATATTATGCAAGTTTGATTATATTCAATTTTAACTCAAATGACAATTATCCGAAAATAAGATCCAACTAAAATCTATAAATAAGTCATGCTTTTTTTTTATGCTTATGATAACTGATTTTTGTAATGTATTCATTCTTTTAAGTTGATAATATATCATACTTTTATTTGAGCCACGT